AGTTTTTCCTCTCCACTGTCGCTACAAGCATGCTTAGTGTGAGGGATTGCCTTTGAGCCAATGATTCGATGCAATCAACTGGTTTTCCTGGTGAACTGTAAAGTGCCTTGAGATGACATGTGTTGTGAATTGGCGCTATAGAAATAAACTGAATTGAAAACTGAATGTTTGATACCTTACCAGCTTATTTTGTTTGAATGACCACCATTGTAGAAAACGATTAATAAAGATGGACCAGCTTAAAGAGCGAGGTGCGTGAGAACGCTGAGACCCTTTTTCCACCTGGATTCCTGCTCTTTTTCGCCCTCATGTCCCTCCATTGTCGCACAAACTTGCCCCCACTTCCTCACCGCCTCTGCCGTATCTAGACCCACCGCTAGTTCCTGATTGTGCTGTTATTTCATGCCACAACGCAAGAGGGACAGACCACGCTTCAATATAGGGCATAAATCAAAAATATCTGCGACAAGCTCACTGAGACACACTGCTGCCGGAGGATAACCAGCCCAAGGTTTTACAAAAATAAGCACACTGAATATATCACTGTGTACTAAATCTACATTTTCCAAGTTTCAATTAATGTCCTTTATATGATGGTGTTCCATTTTCATGTGATATATTCATGGCTGGTGAAATAAGGAGAGTGGAGCTCACCTGTGGATCTTGTAATATGATAGGCTCATTGGGCGCTGAATCCTTGGTCTTGTTCTTTTTATTCTTCCGGTTGGTGTTTGGGGTAGTGGCCACACTTGCTCGCTTCTTACCAAAAGCTGTGGAGAAGGTGGTGGAGGTGGCAGAGATACCAATGGTGGTGGTTGTGGTTGCACTTGGGGGCTCAATGGGGACTTCTTTTTCTAAGAGACAAAAAGGAAACCAGTTCAGATAGGAAAAACAGGACAAACCTCAGTGATTCAGCATTTCTGTGTTAGGCGTCTGATGGGTCAAAGGTTACCCTCAGATGAATCCTCTTTCTGCTCCAGCATCTCAGAAGACTCCTCCTTGGTTTTGTGTCCTTCCTCTTCCTCCTGCTTCCTCTTTTGTTCCTCCTTCTTCTTCTTGCGCTTCTCCTTCCTCCTCTCCCTCTTGGCAGCCAGCGCCTGCTTTTTGCTCTCCTCCCGAGACTGTTGGACACCACAGAGTTACACACGTTTGCTTTGCTGCTGTTCACCGGTCGTCTTCAGAGCACCGAGGCCATGCGTTTACCTTCTCCAAGTCCAACTCCTTCAGGAGAATGCTAGCGTTCTTATTGGCCTCTGCTGCCTGCTGGTCTTTCGCTTTAACGATGGTTTCCATACACTGGTGACACTTCTTCAACAGCTCCTGCAGGAGAAAACACGTGAACTTTCCTAATATTTAATAAAACCCGACCTAAAAAATCAGACTTTGATACGGAAGAGGATTAGGGCCACTGGGGAAAAAAAAAAAAAAAAAGTTTACTGATTTTTGTATGAGATTCTGACTTTAATCTAAGAATTCTGACTTTTTTTTTTTTAATTGTCAGAATTCTGACTTTAATCTCAGAATTCTGAGAAAAAAGTCAGAATTCTGAGATTCGGACTTTAATCTCAGAATTCTGACTTTTTTCCCCATGTTAAACTGAAATAAAATTTTCAGTAGCCCTTATCCTCTTCCGTACTTTGATGCCCAATTCTGACACAACTTAATAACATGTCTAGCGGAGATTAATGGGTTTAAACAAAGACGCCGCTCTTGCTTAATGTTTAATGTCGACCACGCTCATCATTGAACAGTCCATGCAGTAATTATCTAATATGAGGATCATACCCGGTTAAATCCAGGGGGAACCTTTTGTTGGGAGGGCCAGGCAGTGCATCTTTGTGTATAAATTATGTGTAGGTTATACATTTGTTTAAGCTAAAGGTATAAGGGAGGATGCTCTTTTTCCGAGTTTATCATCAAAATAAACTCAGAATTGTCAATAATCCTGGTGATATGTTTACGTAAGGCTCTACGTGCTCGTCCCCATTTTTACTTAGCGGTGTTGAGTTTGACATAGTGGAAAATTTGCAAATCTTCTTTTGGAACGTAAGCTTGTATGAGTGATGCAAACAGCAACTTTTAAACAGAGCGTGCACCAGGAGAAATGGGCTCCTGCGTGCTCTTGCACACGTTCAACAAGCATTCTCTCTTGGGAACGTGTATAAGGATGTGCATGTGCATTTTTTTAATTTATTTTTTTTTCCAAATGGAGAGGGCGGGTCCTTGAAAAATTAGTAAAAACCCTTCACTATACCTTTGAGATAGGGACTATTATCTCCACCACTAAGGTCGATTGGATATGCATCCCAATATTCTATTACCAATACGATATAAACTGCAATGCACTAAACCCACGTCAATACAAATCACTCCTGTTCACGATTCAATGCGACTCAAAAAGGATTTCATGACGATACGATTCATAACATTCGGTGTATGTGATTATTTAATATTTATATTTAGCTCGATTTTAATTGATTAGCTTAATCAATGAGATTTAAATTGAGCAAAGCTATAGATGTAAAAACAAATAATTTCAAATGTATTAATTAGAATTTTATTCTTAATCTTTAGAGAAGATGGATGAAAGACAAGATCAGTGACCAATAAGCAGCCCCTCATCCCTACTCCACAGTTCAGATCATACACCTAAAGTATTTCTCCAAGGTAAATATCAACGCTGGTGGTTTGATTAGGACTCTTGTTCTGCCCAAGGTTAGAAGTTGGAGGTATGTCTTAATAATTTAGTTTGAAAAGAAGAACTTTTACAGTATTAGTTTATCTGTATTTTATTTTGAAGGCGAATCTTGAGGAAGCATTGCATTGTGGGTAGCAGAGGCAGTGATAGTAAGGAAGTGGTGTTAACAGAGAGAAAAAACCTGCCTATTACAGAACAAACTTCGCCTCCTGTGTTGTCAATCTTTTCCAAAACCTCCAAAAGCAATGGCTGTAAGTTCAATCTGTGTTTTGTTTGGCAATACATATTTTCTTATGAGTTTATTTAGAGGTCGTTTTTTGCATATGTTCATTCCAGGAATTAGCCATGTCCCAAAGGTTTTTCTTGTATAGTTGTAACTGCTGGAGTGACTGTTTCTTAGCAACAGCTTGGGTTAATTCTAATTTATGTTTTATAATGCTGGAAGTTTGTTCTGTGCATTTAGAGCTGATGCACATTTATTTTCTGTTTCTGTTTGTAGTTTCACTCAAAGCTTTCATCGACCTTCCCACACAATTGTACAAAATTGTAAGAAGACCGTAATAAAGGAGCAAGACGCTCAGCTTCCTGGCTCATAAAAATTGAGTTCGTGTATGTTAAAGCAGATTAACAGCAAGCCAGTGTATCCGACACGTAGTGATAACAGTATAACTCTGTTCCCTGTGGTGTTGCTACCTTGTCAGCGATGGTGGCAATATATCTCATGCACTCAATGTCTGATGGAAACTGGTTGACCTCCTTCACAAGATACTGCACCACCTTCACATGACCCTAAAGATGTAAAGAAGGAGTTTTAGTGACAAAGGCCAAAGGTTAAAGTGCAGCGGGGGACCAACTAACGTTAAATAGAGTGCTCACCTTGCGGAAGGCGGCCATGAGTGGGGTGATTTTACGGTTGTCTGCAGCATCCACATCAGCGCTTGCGTGCACCAGGAGCTGGACCACATCAAAGTGACCACCGTTCGCTGCCAGCCAGAGGGGAGTGTTCCCTTTCTTGTTTCGTACATCAATATGAGCCCCCCTGGAAGCAGAAATAATAGTTTAATTAAGGACTCCAAATTAAGGATTGAAATTAGCAGCACAATAGAAAAACAGATGTGTTATGAACAAGTACCTGTTAATGAGTAGCTCACAGAACTTGTAGTGACCCTTGTCGGCAGCAATGGTGAGGGCGGTGTCTCGTGAGGAAGGAACAGGAGGAGCGTTGACATCAGCACCTTTATCCAACAGAACTCGGCCCACCTCTGCATAACCCCCTGAGGCTGCCTCCATCAACGGAGTCAGTCCAGTCTGGAGGAACAGGACAGACGAGTTAATGGTTAAATATGCAGAATCCAAAAATAATTAATAAATCCATTTAAAAAAAGATTAACACCCATTGAAAACAAAAAGATGAACCTAAATGCTTCTACCTTAGCTCGGTGCTCTACGTTAGCCTTGCGATCTAGCAGCAGACTGACGACCTCAGCTCGCCCCTGAAAGCAGGCTAAGGTCAGAGCAGTGTTTCTGTTGGTCTCGATCTGGGCGTTGATGTCTGAGCCCATATCTAACAGGAGCTTCACTGCTGGCACGTGACCGTTCATAGCCGCCAGCATCAGAGGAGAGATTCCCAGCTTACTGCCAGTCCTGAAGAAAAAGCAAATATTCATATTCAAAGAAATGATAAAACATAAGGAGAAACAGGACACCATTAGCATTTCAGAGTCCAAACAAATTATCCAAGTAAACATCTTGGTATTAAAGCCGTTTTCAAAATGTTCAGTGGTGTTTTAGGTTGAATGTGACCATTTCAATCTTAATAACATTTCAAAGAGTGGTCAGTATTTAAACCTGGGCCCTCTAACAATAAAGCTGCAAGGAAAGAGATACCAGGATAAACTTTTCAAGAAAAGAATTGATTGGAATCTGTTCTGTTGCACCAATTATCCAGTAATTATTCACATTTTTAACAATGGATTCCTACATTTGATGTTAAAATCCACTGACTGAAGAAGTCGCCAGAGGGTCCAAGCAACAGTAGACCCTTTTTCACTGAAAGATTTAAGCTAAAATCAACAGGATTTTCAATAGCCAGGTTTTGGGAATCCAGTGTTATTCGTCAGCGTGCCTTCCCTTCCCACTGCCCTGCACATTCAGCGTGAGAGAAACTGCAATACAACTTCTATCCAGCAGGTGGGGGTATTAAGAACACAAAACTGTTTCTCCCTTTACCTCTAGTGCAAAACACTAAGCTTGAGAAGCTTATCAGACATAAAAAAAGAAAACGTATGACTTTTATATTATAGTTTCAAGATTTGATAATTAATAACTCGTTTAAATAGACAAAATATAATTTTAAGTTAATAAAAATTCACATAATCCATTAAGGGATTCAGGCTTTCATTCATCCAGACTAGAAGTGGTCTAATGTGAACTTTTCTGATTCTCCTCTTAGAACAACCTGAATCGGTAGGAACTGGAACAGAAACTAATCCTTCATATTCAAACGATTCCCAACCTTCAGGGCAGGTATGGATCAAATCTTTACAGGACAGGAAGTCCAAATAACTTTTCATACTCCCTTTTTTTCCCCTGATACCCTGAAAACGCTGCCTTTGATTCCCCAAGTCCCATTTAGTAAAAACAAACAGTGGCTTCTTAGCTCAGCTGAATAAGAAGCTAAAAAAATAAAAACAAAAAGGTCTATATAAATCGTTTTGCTGCTCACCTGGAGTTTATCTCAGCACCAGCATTCAGGAGTATCTTGATGATATTGACATAACCCCCTGAAGCAGCCAAGCTAAGAGGCGTGTAGTCTGAAACGTTGCGGTGCTCCTTATTGGCTCCCCGCAGCAGCAGCAACTCAACAACCTGTCGGATTAAAAGATATTAATAAACAAAAAGAAAGCAGTTACAGATCATAGTTATTAGGGAAAAAAAAGTTGAAAAATAAAGTCTGTATGTTGTGTGTTACCTCCTGTCGGCCTCCTGAACATGCTAAGGAGAGGGGCGTGTCTTTGGTTCTCTCTGACTGAGCCTCGATGTCTCCACCTTTGTCTAGGAGCACCTCCACCACTCCTACATGACCAGCAGTGGCAGCGAGGATCAAAGGGGTGAAACCTGTGGAGCGTAGAACCACTGAGTTACTCCTAATTTTTCCAATCTCACCCCCCTCCATATTTTTGCTCCTCTCTGATACCTTTTTTGTCCCGGTGCTCAATGTTGGCTCCCCGTGCAATCAGGACCGACACGAGCTCCTCGTGTCCTCCTGCACATGCTAGCGTCAGGGCTGTATCGTGGTTGCTCTCCGTCTGTGAGGAACCAGCAAACATTTCTCCTCAGATCTAGATATGTTTTATTTATAAAACAGCCTCACATAACAATAGCTTTAAGACTTACGTGTGCATCGATGTCGACCGACGGGTAGAGGGGTAAGACGGAGGGGGGAGAGGCGATGTTTGGGTTGGTCTGCGTGGGCGGCTGGGACAAGGGTGTGGGTGAGGTTGTAGTGGGTAACATGGGCACGCGGTTTCCCCCAGCTGCAACACAGAGGGGACAGAAAGAACATCCGGAAGTGTTTTAGAAAGAGTTAAACAAAAAAAAAAAAAAAAAAAAGAAGCTTTAAAAGAACATCCTCACCTTCCATGATATCATTCAGTGTGTCTGTGAGCGTCTGTGCAGGTGTCGCCACCATGAGCCCATCTGGAGCCGGCTGGGGTATCATTCCAGGGCCTAAAGCAGCCAGCTGGGGGCCCTGACCTTGTTGCTGCCCCAACATCTGCTGCCCCACCAGCACCCTCTCCAGCTCTGGGCTCGTGCTTCCAGGGTAGTCTGCAGGGTTGTAGTCCGGCAGGGGTTGGATAGGAGCGAAGGCGGGCTGAAGAGGAGGAGGGGGCGGCTGAGGTTGGCTCTGAGGCGAAGGAGGAAGAGGAGGCTGCTGAGGCCCGTCCCTGTAGAGGATTGTGCCCACCTGAGGAAGCTTGGGGTACTCGTCCTCTTCTCCGTCCGCGTCGTCTTCTGAGCCCTCATCTTCGTCATCGTAATCCTCATCCTAAATATACACACAGAGTATTTGGAGTCTTTTACGGCTGTAGGAATGTTTCTAAGGGCACTAACCCCTTCACTTCTACCCACCGGACTTAGGTGGACACAAATGGACTCATTTTGCTGTAATATCATGTTTTATTCCCATAAAATAAAACCACGTCATAATAAAATAACAAAGCTCCTTTTTTCCCCCATTAAAAAAAGTAAAAACATGAGGATAAAAACAGATTTCTCATGTGAGTAATGACGCATGTCCACCATTTTGGACTGCCTACTTTATGTGGGCTTATTCACCAATCGGTTTGCTCCCAAATTAGTTCCATTCTCAGTTTGCAGAATTCCCTCATATAAGAAATACCCTCCCCAGGGGCATGTGTGTCTATAGTCTTTGTGTAGCTGGACCAGCTAACTTAAAGACCAATCAAACTTTTGACATGTTTTGTCAGCAAATAAGCTTTTCAATTAAGAAAATGTTGGTGCTAGCTGAAGATATAAGTCTTTATGTACATAAGGAGTGAGGAGAAATAATGGGATACTCAGAGAAAATACATAGTCAAAATTCTGAAAGCTGAAAATTACAAATATTTTAAATAAAGTGCTTGAATGAAAATGTGAGTAAATTTATGTATAGAAATGTGTTTTTTTTAATGATCAAATCATTCATAAAATGGAAATAATCCAGTTTGGTTCTGTTGGTTCTAATTTGGATTACTTGTTCCAAATTGACCTTTTGCATAGAAAAGGGCAACATATTCACAATGCTTGGGATCAGAGATCAGAAATTTACAAGTTTAGTTAGCTGAAGGTGTCAACAATGAATTATATCCAAAATATAGAATATCAAAAAGGGCTTTTTTTTATTTGAATGCTTTCAAATGGGATGCATCACAAGTATATGGGATTTATACTATTATTTTATTGACCAAAGGAATTTGGGTATGAACAATCTATAGAAATGTGGGTGGTATATTGTTAAGGGGAGGGGTCAGAGAGATGCAGCGAGAAAAACAGCTGGTCATGAATTTATAAAGCCAATCAGTGACCAAGTGAACTAACTAGGCTGTGCTGACTAGGGGCGAGTATTGGCGTGGGTGTTGTGATATGATACAGGTCACAATTCTTGGGTCACGATACGATATTATCGTGATATTTCAACATCCCTATATATTACGATATTTTTCCGACCTATGAAAATTACATGCATGGATGAAACAGCCAGTGCTGTGTATGTTCTCATCAGGAGATATTGATAATTTATTATTTTGGTGTCCATGCTGTTTGAAGTCAGTCAGTGCCCGTTTTCCACTGGTACTACAGGTATGGCACTGCGCTCTACAGCAAAAGGGCTCCATGGTGATATGTATATATATATATATATATATATATATATACACACATACACCAGACAGAGGTAGCCATCTTCCCTCATTGTTTAAGTTAATTTTTTTGTTTTTAAAATCGATACAAGGACCTGAAAAATCGACATATCAGGCAGCCGCAAAAACCTTTTTTTCCCCCCACACACTTACAGCTGATCAGAACACACTTTGAATGAAGGGATCAAAGTGAGCGTCTGTGAGCTGGTTAAAATGAAGTCGAAGGAAGATGTAAGGGAACCATTATGTGCATTTACAGAAATGCCTGCGGTTAATTCAGGATCTGAGAAACAAAGACTTTCAGCAGATAACAGGACGGCTGAGCTTCTTTGTTATGCTCTACTTTTAAGCATATAGCCATTTTGACATTTCAGAATTAATGTTCGGGGTCTACGTTGTGTGGGATAAACACAGAGAGAAAGTAATGTTCTTTGCTTTGTTTTTTTTATGTCCACCACATAATCACTGCTCGCTCAAACACCAACTTTGCTTCTCATTAAAAGAATACTTACTAAAAAGGTTAAAATAAGCCCAGAGAAAAACATTTAGAAAATAGGCAGAGTGAGGGAGGATTTTACCTCTTCCCCCTCGTCCCCTGGCGACTGCTCCTGCTCCCCCTCTGTGCTAGCGTCTTCGTATATTTTAGCGGCGCTGGGTAGGGGACCACCCGGTGGGGAAGGAAGCTGTCCCGGCGCGGTAGCTGTACTCCCAGGCCCTGGACCCGGACCCTGACTTTGCCCCGCCTCCAGATCTTCCTTTAAGCCCTTTGCCTCCATGTACTCTTTGGTGAACTGTTGCTGGGTTTTTAGCTGCAGCTGGCGCTCCACCTTCTGAAGCTCCTTCAAGATTTTCTTCTTCTTCTGTACCTAAGAACACCATAAAAACCTCTTTATTTGCCCATTTCATATCTTTTAACGAGGATTAGCACTCAGGAAGTGGCAGATGGAATATACCTGTTCTTCTCTGCTTTTCTTCAGCTCCTCAATCTTGTCTTTGGTGAGTGGCTCCCCCTGAATGAGCTCCAGCGACTGTAGCTGAGCCTTCTCAATGGCGCTTATTCTCTGACCCAGTTCGTTCAGCTTTCCCTCCGTCTCCTCCACTATGCACTCCAACGGCGGACACAAGTGGAAGGGCGGCAAAGGTTCTGCTTCAGGCCCACGGCCGACCGTGCTGGGGACACCTGGCTGAATGGCTGCTGGTCTCTGTTTGGACACGGCTGATTAAAAAAAAAAGATTAGTTAAAAAGATGATCAAGCATGGCTCAAAAAAACCCTGGGATGCCTGTGTTGTATTTTGAGGCAAAATTTTCAAGACAAAAAGTGTTTTTTTAGTTTATTCATTGTGCAGCATTGAGGGTTTAGCATCATACATTCTTAACTGTAGACTTCCACTCATAACTGCATTAATATATCGGATCATGTCATTAGATATTTAGTAGATTTGAACTGTTTTATTAATATCACAGCAACATAAACATTAATTTTTCAAAATTATGTTTAAAAAAAAAAAAAAAAAAAAAAAAGATTGAACTCTTGTGATCTTAAAATCTTGAAATGAATTTGTTAATGCGTACAATATCTTCATGAAGCCTTCAGAGGAATAAAATGAAAAGATCCATTTCAGACCAGTGAATTGACAACATGACCATGGTGTCAAGAGGCGAACGGTGAAGGATTAAACAAGTTCACCACTGCTTAGCTTAGAGTGATGATCATTCTATTAAAAAAATAAAAATCTAAAAGCAACACTAACAGTTAGCCTCTAGGGAAGAAAGATGTTTAATCTCAAGGTTTTGCACCCCTGATTGCCTGCAGATGTAGAAGTCATGGTGTTATTTGTAAAGACAATACAGTTATCTGTGGATTAAATCCTACATCAGAGAACCAGAAACTACATCTGATCAGATGTCATTCCATTTCCAAAATTCCAAAATTTTTGGAATAAATTTTTATTCCAAAAAAAAAAATAAATAAAAAAAAAATAAATAAATAAAATAAATAAATAAAATAAAAAATGAAAAAACTAAATAAAAATAAAAAAAATAAAAAAATAAAATAAAAAATAAAAAGATGTCATTCCAATTTGTTATCCAACAATGACCTATGATATGTGTTGTTAGCACCTGTTATCATTTTTATTTTGTTTAATTGTTGTTCTTGTATGTTTAAAACAATAAAACGATTTGAATAAAAAATCTAACAACGACCTGTGGCTTAGTTAGCTGTGTTTAAGGTTAGCTCAGACTGCCGTAAAGTGTCGCTCTGGTTCACATGACGGATCCGACCCTCTCATGTTAAATTGTTTTTAAAGCACAGAGCATCGTTACGCACCAAGTACTGAATCCTGACCTGACTTTTTTTTTTTTTTTATATCTCACATTAAGCTAATATTTCATTCAGAAATTATATTATGTTGCTTTAAAAAAAGAAAAGAAAAGAAAAACAGCTTCAAATCAACACAATCACAGCAGGTAGGGCCATTCAATGGTATATAAAAACCACTCTTTAAAAAAAAAAAAAAAAAAAAACAAATTTTATGCTTGGATTAAAGCCTCTTTTACCTTTGTTGGAGACGGGTGGGGATGTAGCGATGTTTGATGGGGCTCTGTCGGGCTCTTGGGGGGGCACTACCATACCGAGAGCTTGGAATGGAACACGAGGAACCTGATAAGACAGTATTATGTTAGACATGGGTAGGAAAGCGTGGCTTTATATGGGAAGAGGCAAACAATATTAAAAGAAAAAAAAAGGGATAAATGTGATATGAACCTGAGAAGCATCTTGTGATGGGGGGGTGAGCTGGGAAAGGTCAGGGGCCGGGACAGATAGAATGTTGTTGGGGTAGTCCAACAGGTAGGACACGACGTTAGTGTGGCCACCTTTAGCAGCTTCTATCAACATGGTGGAACCATCCTACAAAGACAGAGAATCACATGGTTTTCATTATGAGTCGCAACCGGATGCAGAAAGAGGCGACGCTGGTCTTTGTTAAGAATGGCAGCATTACTTTGAGTCTGTGTGTGGGATCTGCTCCGTGCGCCAACAGCAACTCCACCACCGCCAGATGCCCTCCAGCACAGGCCAGGGACACCACGGTGTGATCATTGTTGGCAGTAGCTCTGTTCACATTAGCACCTGAACAGGAGAAACACGCATCCCCATGATTCATTTACACCATTAAAAAGCCAACCATCTAATAAAGAGAACATGAATCTATATACTGCTATAAATGCAGTAACTTCATGTTGCATACAGCACATGATACAGGAATAGATTTAACTAGTAATGTAGGATTACATTTTGAGGTCTACATCTTAGACTTTCAAAAAGATATTAGAAGAAATGATCTCATACAACAACATTGGTAAATATGAACAGCAGATTAAAGACACACCTTTGCTGATAAGAAACTGCACTGTGCACAGATGTCCTGCCCTTGCAGCCTTCATCAGAGGCGTCCGCCCCCCTTCAGACTCATGTTCCTAAATATCAGAAAAATCAGGTTTTAACAATGAGTGTTTGTTTTTTTCTTTTCATAATCCAAGTTCATTTCAGCATTTTTTACAACATTTACCCACTAAGACTTATTAGGGATGATGTGAGCATACCAGATTGGCTCCAGCCTGAAGCAACACATCTGCCACATCAGTGTGTCCGTTCTCACACGCATACGTCAAAGCTGTGTCACCTGTTGCCGTGGTGGCATGAACATTTGCTCCTGAAAGGCGGAAAAGAAGGCGTGACATTTGCATTAAAGAAGATTAAAGCTTGGGATTCTGAATTTCATGACATGTGTGCTAAATATTTTGGTAGCTCACCTGCAGCCAGCAGGTATTTCACCAGTTCCAGATGGCCCTCCTGCGCAGCCTCCATCAGAGGAGTGGAGCAGCCCAGCTCGATGTCGGCTCCTGCTTTGATAAGGAAGTCGGCCACCTCCAGGAAACCTCCGCAGCATGCTAGAGTCAATGCCGTTTCCTGGGTCTCCTCTGTCTGCGCGTTGATGTTAGCACCTGGAAAACAAATGAAGAGCAATGATAAAAGGACACACCTACCCCATCAACGTTTTCCTTATTTAGGAAACTTCATTAATAATCTTTTTTGACATAATTAGGAATCAGATAAACAATAAGTCACAAACTGAATGATGAAACTTCTTTAATAAAAGTCCTACCTTGAGCCAGAAGCAATGCTACCATCTCCTCATGGCCTTCTCTTGCTGCCTCCATCAGAGGAGTGTAGCCCTCATCATTAACCTGGACACAAGCAGAAGACCAACATCAAGAGGCTTCCGTCCACAGATTAAAGACTCAGACATCTTTAAATATTTCATTTTCAAAGTTATACTTTCTTATTATAAAATAGGTTGAGGAATTATGTTTAATCCCATTATAAAAGATTAAGTTCATTTCAACTATTGATATTGTTGGTAGGTCCTTTAGAAAATAAAGTTTCACAACTTCACCTTTTGAAGTTTTTCAGTGTAAAGATGAAAAATGTGTCTCTAAGTACCTCCTCCAAATTGGCGCCTCTCTCTATGAGCAGCGCTGCGAGCTCAACGTGTCCTCCACAAGCAGCCAAGGTGAGAGGTGACTCAAATGAGTCAGCTGGCATGTTGACCTGTGCGCCGCTGTCCAACAGCAGCCGCGCCACCTCCACATGGCCGTCCTGGGACAGCGAGACACAGAGAATGTAGAGATAAGCACCTGAATAAATACATACAAACATTCTGCAAAAGGAGCTGAATTGGTCCGACATCCCTGGATAGAAAAACACTCGAAGGTATGATTAGATAACCTGGAGTCCCATTTCTGTGCAAGCTTTTTTCATTGTAATCAATAGAACTGCTAAAGCAACAAAACTGGGGAATCAGTAACAATATTTCTATAATAATTGGTTATTCTTGATTTTGTTTTTAAAATCTCTTAAAAAAAAGTTTAAACTTTCACCAAGTAGGAAACATTTTTTTAAACGATCTTTTGAGTTAATTTAATGATTAGTTGATTTTTTTTTTAGTTACAACTTTTTTTTTTTTTATAAAAACTATTTTTCAAACATAATAGCCAATAATAATAACAGCAAATAGCTGGTTTGTAAATATTGACTTCTGGTTATGATGCCAAAGTCAAAACAACTCCAACTCAGAAAACACGTACTGCTGAGCTCCTCCTTGCACAACAGTGGACTGATGGGAGGGGCTTATGTCCTGCTCTTACATGTTGGTCAGGCTTACAATGATCACCACTGGCTCTATATTTAGCAACTGATCAGAATCACTCAATTCTTATTTTTTCCCCCAAAAGTGACTACTGATGATTCTAGTGGCTTTTTTGTGTATTTGAGACTTGGTGAGAAGTTTGGTGACCATCAATCCCTCCTAGTTTCAAAGGATAGAGAGGCGATGGTTAGTCAGCATTGCTGTGCAGCAGCTTGGAGGGAACATGGTGACTTTTGAGGAAAGCTTTAAATTATTCCACCCTTGATTACATAGCAAGATGAAAATATAATCTTCAAGGTTTTTTTGTTTTTCTCCGACACTGTCGAACCAAGATTTTCTCTGTAACTCATTCACACTTAGCCTCTCACCTTATCCACTCTGGGTTACTATCCTGCCATCCTATGGTTCAATTCGATAATATATCAAATATACATATATGTAGTGTTGGCTCTGGTAAAATATAAATATATATTTAAAACAAATTTTTATACTTCTCTCTCCTTTGATTATACAAATTTTTTTGTATTTTAGTCAATGTATGAGTTATTTATTTGCACTTTTATCAATTTCGAATAGAATAGAAAATCTATTTATTGTCCGACAAAAGGGAAATTCTGGTGCTTTCATGTGTCCATACATCAATTTTTTTGTTTGATAGTATCAATAAGGGTACCAATAAAATATCGGATAAATAAGGGGTATTGTTTAGAGTATGAGTATCGATAAATCCTCAATGATACCCATCACTAAGAATAGTTGAGTGTATATGTGCCGCTTACAGCATGACAGGAGACTAACTTGTAGTCATCTTAAACAATTTATTCAGCCTGTGTTTACTTTCAGATTCAATTCTACCAACACTTAAAACCACTTAAATGCAGCTGGAAGAAGGAATAAATGAAAAAAAAAAAAAAAGACAAGTTGAAGATTCACACATTTTTGGGCCTGGAACTGGATGAATGGCATCCATATAAGGAAGGAGAAAAAAAAAGTAAAATGATCTTTAAGATATTAGAATAAAACTGAGTGCATCACATCTGGTGTCATAAAGGGGTTTCCTCTGAGATGTGGGTCAGATGCTCACCATGCAAGCCTCCATAAGCGCTGTGTGCATCTCATCTGTTTTATGCTCCTGGTCTGCTCCGGCCTCCAGCAGAAAGCGAACCATATCCAGGTGACCTGGAGGACAAACACAATGAAGCAGCATCCCAGTTTTAACAACAAAAACCCAACAATCAGTGACTTTTGGAACACAGAGACATCATATTTAGGTTTAGACCTTTATAGCAGGCGAGTGTGAGCGCGCTCTCCTTAAACTCATTGGAGTGTGTGTTGATGCCGGCGCCGTACTCCAGGAGAACCCGGGCCACCTCCACGTGCCCCGCGCTGGCTGCCTCCATGAGGGGCGTGTGTCCGTTCTCATTGTGGTCCTCGATGTTTGCACCTTCTTTAAGCAGCACCTTCACCGCATCCACGAAGCCGCCCGCGCACGCGTATGTCAAAGCTGTGTTGCCTGGGAGACGAGAGCCGGGTCACTCCTGGACAGAGCAGATAATCCAACCAAAAATATGTCTGTTTAGGATTATTTTACCTGTAGATGACTGTGCGTTCACATCTGCCCCGTGGACCAAAAGCAGTTTCACGATGTCCACGTAACCTCCGCTGGCGGCAGCCATTAATGGGGTTATGTCCCCTTTGATGCCCCGGTCCTCCACATTGGCATGCATTGCCAACAAAACCTGTCGATGAAATGTGAAACAATCAGGTGGAGAAAAACATAAAATAAAATTTGTAAAATAGGATGAATCCGTTTCATACCTGTGCAAGTTCGTAGTAGCCAGCTGAGCAGGCGAGGCACAGGAGGCTTTCCCCCTCTTCTGTGTGTTCATTGACGCTTCGTCCCTCGTCCAACAATTTGCGCACAGCATTGACGTCCCCGTCCGAACACGCTTCCGCTAAACTACGGCTGAAAATAACCAGACTGCTACAATTACTGCCACGGTGACAGGTGGACACACACGCACGCCTCATGTACACACCGCCACTTCACAGTAAAGCACATCACACACGCGGAGAGGTTTCAAAACTAGAGTGACGTCGAAAGGACGGGTGAGATACATACTTGTCGGCTTGGCCGGCGTTGAGTGTGTTTTCAGCTCTCATTCGGGTCAGGGCGGCGGCTGCCTCGTCCAGCGCGCAGCTCACGGACGATGTTAGTCGACGTAGAACCTCGGGGTCTGCAAAAGCTTTACCATCGGCAGTGGAGAGTTTACCGATGCCTGCCGAACACCAAGAAGGCAGAGGTGCATAGGGCAATGCAAACCACAGTGGGGGCAGAACCACACCAGACCAGATGAAGAAGCAAGTCCAGTTCAGCCAATCCAATCCAGGGTTAGTAGCAGCATACACAAATCAGATGGGGGGGGAGGGGAGATAAAACCCACACACAGAAAACATACAAAAGCATGTTAATTTGGCTCAAAATATCCTGTCACTACTTTCAATGCAGCATAATATACAAATATTTCCCAACCCAATAATATTGAAGTAAAAACAATTATCATTTAGAAACAATAGTATCATTAGCTCTTATATGTCCCAAAAACTACAAGGAATGCAGTGAAGGAAGAAAATGTTTTGTGTTTTTTTTGTCCTTAAAAACTCATCAGCAAATGGTTAAAGTGGTTAATGGTTAAAGAAGGAAAAACATAATTTATGAATATTGGAAGCTTAAGAGGAAGACGGAGAGAATGAGAAACTGAAGAGAGTTTAAAAGTAATGAACATATTAAGACATCAAAATTACCATGAGACAAAAATGTGTTTGTGACTAAGTTTGTTATAAAAGGAATAGAAACCCCAAAAGAGGGAGGGAAAAAAAAGACAAGCAAAAAGACAACACAGCAAAACACTAAATTGATGACTCAAACAGCTAGGTTGAGTGACAACAACACATCTTGGTGTTTAGGCAAAGCAGACATGTTCAACACTGAAAATAAAAATACATGTATTTTCATAAAAAGCATCTATAGAGTGAGGACGGTGTGAGCCTTTGGTCCTGGAGGTTCATAACATCTCATAAATCTCAGTTATTCCAATGAAAGTGGGTGTGATATGCATAACACAAAGAAGTGCTTGGACAGCAACAAATGCCAGCTAATGAATAATAATGCATTCAGTTTATGACACTTGTTTGATGCATCATAAATATCATTTTTTTCTTCAAAGAGGAGGTAGAAAGAAAACAGTTGTTTTAATACCGAAACAACGGCCATCTATCAAAACGACTTTTCAATAAGACCTTGTTGTTGCTGTGAAAATCGTACATTAACTCTCTCTCATGAGCTGCGCAATTTTCTCCTCATATACCATTTCTGACCCATTGCTTAAATACATTAGCATATTTATATAATTTGTTTATTTATAGCAGCCCATCTAGTTAAAGCACAAAAACTTCAGCCGCCTGTCCTTTTGGATATCT